TATATATAATAAATATAAAGACGTCTAAAGACGTCCTCTCTAAGAATTGTTCTAAATAAGACATCTTTAGGACGTTCTAAAACGTACTTAAATAAAAATTTACCCCAAAAAATTAAAAAAAAACATTTTAATTATTTAAGTGTTTTATAAATATTCTAACACTGTCAAGTCAAAAATAGCCCAGAAGCATGTAGAAAAATTTAAATTACCGCTGGATATCCGTTTACTGAGCGCTCAGTGTTGCTCAGTGAACGCGTGTTTAACGCTTGCGCAACCGTGTTTTGTATGTTTTTATTCGGAAAACATGTTTATTTACATTTAATCTTAAATAGAGTCAAAATGAAACCCAAGGGATTTAATCTATAACTCATATATAGTTCAAAAGTAGAAACAGTTTAGGATTCTAAGGATGATGAGTGTTTTAAATGATTCGGATAGCGAAGATGAGTTGCCGCCAGGATGGGAGGAAAGAACGACATTGGACGGGAACGTATATTACGTGAAGTAAATATGTTATTATTTTGACGAATATTTTTTTTGAGAGAGATTAAAGATTGCTTTTAATGAACAGTCCAAAGATCAATTTTGTACGCCATTAAGCGATGATTTGCATAATGACGTGTAAGATATTGCTTATTACACAAGTCACGCAAGAAAAGAAGATGCATCTGACACGTGGATACTAGAGCCTGTTTATACATATTAATTACAGTGTTATGTTATAGTCATTACACGAAAGGCACACAGTGGACACATCCTAGAACTGGTCGTAAAAAGATTGTCGACGGAGGTAATTGGTTTCTCTGTACAGTCTACAAGTATATTAGTGATTTATGAAGATTGTGTACAATTTTCTAATGCTTCAAACAGTGATCTATTGTATTTATAAATCAGTTACTCATTGTATAGAATACATAGAATATATGTAATGCAAGCTATAGGTTAGTAATTCTAATTTATGAGTAATGTTTGATTTTTATGGAATTGTACACATACACATGAAGAAAGTCACTGCATTATTATTGATAAACAGTATTTGATTTTCACAAAATATGTAAACAGAAACTTCTACTTGTTTTAATTGTTTTGTTATATCAAGTAAAGCTGAAGGTATTAAAACATAAAAGTAGAGTATCTAATTATATTCGCAAGATGTATTTCGAGAATGCAAAGTTAACAATAATGATTAATGATTGAAGCAGAGATTTGGAAAATTTTTCAGAATTACCACCTGGATGGGAAAGATGTATATCGGATGACGGAAAAGTTCTGTTCATTGATCACACAAATCACATAACTACATACACCGATCCAAGATTGGCATTTGCAACTGAGTACAGAGAGATGTCACAACCAGTGCGACAGAGGTTCGATGGAAGTAGCACTGCTCTGGCAGTGCTGCATGGTCGAGATTTGCGCAATAAAATTGCCCTTGTTACAGGAGCCAATATAGGCATTGGTAAGTGAGAATTATTACTATTATGTTACTAGATGTAAGAATCTTTGCATTTAACTAACCAAAGGAAATGTTTTGCATGCAGGATATGAAACAGCCAGATCATTAGCTTTACATGGTTGCGAGGTGATATTAGCTTGTAGGAACATAGAAAAGGCTAACGAAGCTATACGACGTATCCAGGAAGAGAAGGAGACTGTGAATTGCTCGACTTTAGAAATAGATCTGTCATCATTGCGCAGTGTGTGGGAGGCCGCTGAACAGTTCAAGCAGAAATTCAAGTAATTTTATTGCATATGATTGTAAATTATTGTAATATTGCAGTTGTCAATTTTTATATAATGAAATTTTTCAATCTGTCAGGTCTCTTCACATTCTCATATTAAACGCTGGCGTATTCGGAGCACCTTTTCAGCTTACAAAGGACAATTACGAGACGACGTTTCAAGTCAATCACTTGTCGCAGTTTTACTTGACGCTTTTGTTAAAAGATACTATACAAAGCTCTAACAATCCTAGAGTTGTAATAGTTTCCAGCGAATCACATCGGTAATATCTCAAAATATTTTTCTTTATAATATTAATTAAATACAAAATTTATTTATTTATTCATCGACATCTTTATGACACAGATTTTCAATGATACGAAATGTAGAAGACCTTCATGAGTTAACTCTGTCTCCACCAGCATACAAATACTGGGGAATGGCAGCATATAACGATTCGAAGCTCTGCAATCTTTTATTTGCCCAAGAATTGGCACGACAGTGGCCTTCCGTGAGTGTATTTGCTTGCCATCCGGGCAACTTGGTATCTACGTCTTTATCACGTCACTGGTGGCTGTATCGATTGCTGTTTGCCTTAGTACGGCCGTTTACAAAATCATTGGTATGGAATAATTTTTTAAATAAATTTATGCGAAACGTTACGAATGATAAGAGATTTAAACTGCAGAGAGTGAACTTTAGAAAAGCGTGAAGTAAAATGATTGTTTAAACCTGTAGTTTTCTATAAAATGTGGTAGATATACAAATTTATGTAGAAATTTGTTAAACTTATCTTTTTAAAGTGATTTTATTCAGATTTGTATTTTTTAGTTTTTTAATTGTCTTATTATATTCTCGCAAGGAAAAAAATAGAATACTAATTACAACATTGCAGCAACAAGCAGCGAGCACAACAATATTCTGTGCAACGGCTCCTGAACTGGAGGGTGTAACAGGTGGTTATTTCAATAACTGCTACCGTTGTCAACCATCAAACGCGGCATTGGATCCTGCCCTAGCCGAGCGATTGTGGACTATCAGCCAAAGCATGATATTTCAAAGTAACAAAAAAGAATAATGAAGACAACTATGAAAAAAAAATAAAGTTCAACTTAATAAGATATCAATCGATATCAGTTAGCTGTTAGCAATATGTAAGTTAAGCATAATTATCATAAGTAAAAAGTTGAATTATAATTCTGGCTCTAATTATTATTCAATAATACTATAAAATAAAAGCTATTACAAGCCGAGCTGGGTGGTAATTGCTCTTTTTCATTTAATGATATTGTATTTAGCTCGGCTCGTAATAGCTTTTATTTTATAGTATTATTGCTATACTATATATACTTATACTATATATAGTATTATATAATTATTATGTAATACATTTGTACATTTGTAATAAAAATAAATATTAATATTTAATAAAGAATAAAAATATTAAATAATAAATGTTTGAAGATGGATCCAAACAGTGCTAAAAAATCTACAAAAGTTCTCTTTTTTTTCCAGAGAAAAATTTGATAGAACAATTCTGGAATATTAGTGAATTGCTGTATATAGTTTTGTTTGATTTATTTACTTAAAATAAAATAAATGCTTATTTAATTTTTGGAGAAAAAAAAGAAAAAAAGCTATATATGTATTTTTTTAAATGTATTTAAAATGTGCGCGAACAGTCGTAAGGTCAAGCTAGGTTGCTTACTTAACCAAACTTACTTAACCAAACCTGATCAAACCTAATTTGAAAAGTCTGAAGCCGCATGTAATTAATTTGATGGTAAAATCTGTGGATAACATTTAATTGAAATTTACGTTTATTTAAGCATCGAAGAACTGTCAAAGAAGATGGATTTTTACGAAATATTGTCTATCTTGATATCCAATGATGATGGTAAGATTCTAAACATATTTGATGGTTAATTAAATAGATTTTAGTTAAAACAATACTTACATGTTGCATTTCAAAATCTGAATCTATATTTATAGATCATGTTAAGAATTTTGACGATAAGTTGGCAAGAATACTGCAGAAAGTAATGCCACTTTTACCAGAAGACACAAGGCAATTTGTCAAAAATTTCTCTAACAGGTAAAATTTTATATTGTTGAGGTGTGAATATTATGTATAAGATAAATACCAGAAATATTATTTAACATAATACATCTGCTGACATTTACAGAGATCAGTATTTGCAAACAGTAATTTACATATTGCGTAATATTAAACAAGAAAATGCAAAAGTAGACACCGACGCACCTCTCAGTGTGAAACAATATCGTTCTATAAAAATTGCAGTGGAACTAATAGTATCAATCGGAATTATACCTTGTCTGCTACCTAATGTTGGCATAGATATGGCTAAGCTGTGTCCTAAAGCTTTGAATATTTTGCAGGAGAAAGAATTGAGCTGCCTGAAAGTAAGATTATTTCATCAATTTTCGAGTGAGATCTACATTGTGTAATTTTTGCGATTAATGTCTTCTTCGTATGAATTTTGTATTTCAGAAATATGAAAGATTATGTTTTTCAACACATTCACTGCTAGATCTCTTTGAAGATCTCAATTTACGACCAGCTGTATTTTCCCAACTCGGCCCTTTAATGGCCGCTCTATTACAATTGTCACATGCTCCACTGGCCAAACCAACAAGCGAGGTGCAGCAATCCTCAAATACAAATGAGCAGGAATTTCGTATGACAGTAGAAGAATATCAAAAGCTGCAGAATCGCCAAAAAGAATTTCACACTAAATTTATTTCACTACTAAGCAACTGTCCTCAGTATATATGTTTTCGAGAATTAATGATTATTCTGGGAATGCAAAATGCACCCAAGTGGCTACGCAGAGAAACTCAGAACTATTTGATTAAAATGCTTGTGCAATCGAATGGTGTATTGTCGTTAATCACCGCAATTTTTGAGGACGGTTTGGATTTGGGTGCAGATTGGACAAAGTTGGACACGATTTCTAAGTTAATAGCAGTGTCATATGGAAAAAATGCTGATGAATATTATAAAGCCGTGTGTCCACAGGTAAGAAAAAGAATAAAACGTATAAAATATGTTGCATGTATTCCTATCGATAGGATTTGAATGTATCGTTTTAATGTCGAGATGTCGGAAAGTTTAATTTCACTCACAAAGTATTCACTTTTTCAGATTCTAGACTTGCTTTCTTCAGATAAAATAAAGCATGGCTCGACGATAGCAAACTGCTGTATCAAGGTTCTATACGATTACAATCCGGATGCTTGTCAAAAGTACATCGTAGAAGTTATTTGTGCACCTTTAATGAAAAAATCAGATGTCACGGAATCCGAAAGAAGGGTAGAACAGTGTATAGAAAACTTAACGAAATGTTTTCTACCAGAAGACGCCAAGTTCAAGCATCTACCTTGCAAAGTTATTTTGCACATTGCAACGCCTTTGTTCTGCCTGTACAATAAAACGCGCAAAAGTGCTTGCGTATTAAAAATGAATTTGCGACAATTGCTGTCAAATATGCTCGCGGATGAAACGACGCGAGAGAAGCTTTATTCAGTTTTTCTGGGACACGTCACTTCGACGGAATTCGGAGATCACGTGACGTCAGAATTCGGTCCGACCGGTGGTATCGAAATTACTGGTGCGAACGAAGATTTGGAATACGAAGAACTGGCCGATACAGTTTTCGACTTGATGACCACCGCGAAGGACTTGTCTCCCAGCCTGTTCCGTTACATGCTACAGTACTTATCGAACGTAAATAAGCAATACTTGACGTGGGACGTCAAACACGTGCTGGAGACAGAAGACGATAAAATGAGACGCGTTACGATGCAATTAGCGGCTTACAAACTCCTGTCGCAATTAGCCAGCACAAGCACCGTCCAAGATGCGCAAGTGAACAATCCCGAGCCGTTGTTGTCGTTCATAAAATCGATGCTGCACGAGTATACGGAGAGTGTACGCACGCGGTCTCACCAAGGCGAAGCAGAAGAGAGCGAGTGTGAAGTATTGTACATCAGCCTAATGCTGATAAAGATGATTCTAATCGAGAAAAGAGCCGCGATCAACATCAGACTTTTCAAAGAGTTCAGCACGTTTCTGCAGAATTGTCGCGCGAGTATGCCGACGCAGGTGAAATCACTGATCGACGAAGTGGTGAGCTGCATCATAACACACGATCCGAGCACGGAATCTCAGGACAGTTCCGGGAAAAAATACTACGAAGACTTGTCGACGAATCCGGCAGTGTCAAGCAAGTTTGACGAAGCCATGAGAGACCTCTCGGACCCGCTACTTCCTGTTCGGGCGCACGGTCTCATAACGTTCACGAGACTGATCGAAAATAATGATCCTAGCGCCAGAGCGCGCAAAGCGATCGTTTTACGCCTGTTCCAGGTTCGCTGATTATTTCAATCGTCAGCTTGTCGCGCGTTTCGCAATTTGTCTCTAGCATCGTTTGATTGCAGGAGAATTTGAAGCACGATGACTCGTTTATATACCTGGCGTCCATCAATGGGCTATGCGCATTGGCAGCTGCGTTCCCAAAGGAAGTCATAGAGGCGCTTATACCCGAATACATCGACATGCCGAATCGCGCCGCGGGCGCGGAAGTAACCGTCGAAACTAGGATAAAACTAGGAGAAATATTGGTCAAGACAACGAGAGCCTTGGGTGCGTAGAAACTCTTTCTTTACTGCACTTTTTCTATATACATTATACGATAACATTGGTTTCCTTCCGCTCGCAAGATTAATTAAGAAATATCGCAGTGTAACAAAAATATATTACCAACAAATTATCATCTAACAAAAGATACCGGAGATAAATCTAGGAAACGATAAAATAGGATGAAACTAGCGATTCGTGGCATCACTGTCGAAAGTTTTTCACAAGTCACGCGAGTGCTAATTGAAACTACTAAATACATTATGCAGGTGAAATGAGCGTGGTTCATAAGAACGCTCTAGTTAACGGCTTTTTGTGCACGACTCGTGACGCGGATCCCTTAATACGAGCCTCCAGTCTTTCCTGCTTGGGCGAACTCTGCAAGGTGTTGAGCTTTCGACTGGGAAACGTTCTCGTCGAAGTACGTATATGTGTTTCACACAAGACAAAGTATTCTCTGAAGCAATTTCTTTCTTTAAACTCGATTCGTTTTCAGATTCTTTACTGCATCACGTGCATAGTCAAATCGGACAAGGCGCCCGAGTGTCGGCGCGCCGCTGTGCTGGTCGCTACGCTCCTATTTCGCGGCCTCGGCCGGGATACATTAAACAGCCTCGGTAGAGACCTGGTCGATTTGTACCGCGGACTGAAGGAGCTGCGCGATAACGACGACGATCCCGTGCTGAGGCTTCACGCTCAGATAGCACTAGAAGAAATCGATCACACAGTGCGGGACTTTATATTCGCGCCGTCCAAACTCGAGAAGACATTCCTGTTGGATCCATTCATGTGATAAAACATGCATTCTTCCTAGAGCGCCTAATGACAACTAGTAGAAAACAATAATCTAATAAATATTTTCCATAAAAGACGCCTGTTCACAACGCGTGAGATGAACAATTGAACATCTACGTTACTGAAAAACATGGCGGATATAATTTCGGTTTCTTGCATTGGTTTCTGCGTATGAAACCGACGTTCAATTAAAACCTGTTTGATATGTTGGAAAAATGAGTGTCGGATAATCGTTCAATAAAAAAAAAAAAACGAAAATTGCCAAGTACAACTCGGTTAAGCGCGCGCGGCTTCATTCGCAGGAATTACGTGACTTCCACTACGATGGGCGAATTCCGATGAGAATTACAGGAATGTTGTATCTTCAGAGAAGAATCCGGCCAAGCGAATGTGATCTCGTTTAAGGCAGGCGTACAGCCGCTGCGGCTGCGGCGTGGAGGCCGGCGAAGGTCGCGGCATTATCGCCCGTAGAATGAATTCCTTACAGCTCGGCACGGGGAACGTTTTGTGCCGGCCGTCTTTCGCAGCGTCCGTCGCGTCGTTGCTATTGCCGACTGACGTCATCATGTGAGCGGCCTGGAAATGTTTCAAGTGATTCTTAAACTTTCGCACGCACATATCGCGACATATCTTGATATATAAAAATCGTTACCTTCTGCGCGTCGCGAAACATCGTCACTATGCGCGCCCCGATGTCTCCTCGGGGACCGCCGGGCACGCTCACTTCCTTCCCTCGCATCAGCTGAACCAAGAAGGACGTGAACTCCTTAGAGTCGTGGTTACCGCCCAGTTTGTGCTGCAGCGAATTCACCTGGGCGACCAACGCCTCCACGCTTTCGACATCGCGCGTGATGTCCTGAAGAAAAAAATTATTTGAAAGGATTCGTGCTGATCTACAAAAATTTGTATTTGTGCGATGGTGGTTTATATCAAATATGCGGCGCATAATTAATCGAAATAATGGCAATCTTAATTGTTACGAAAGATTTAACACGCCAGATGCGCACCTCGTATAACTGTAGCTTCTGATGAATCGGTTTCGTCGCGGATTGCAATCTATTAAGTATGCTCTGCGCCACTTCGGGTAAACTCGGGAGAGCTTCCTGTTTCTGCGCGCTCAGTGTGCAGAGCGCGGCGTGAGTCAAAGTCGGCAACAAGAGCTGCGCGACTTGTCCTATTCGCTTTGAGCATAAGTAATGTAAAGCCTTCTCCGCCTCTCGCGTGTCGTCGAACAGCCGCTTCTGCCGATGTGCGGGAACCGGCTGCGCCGACGCCCATGTCGTCGACCATGGATTCTCGGGGATCATCATCCGTTGCGACAAGTGGCCTGCGTTTCGAAACTCGATACAGCACGAAAGACAAAACGCAGGAAAAATTCTATCTTTTATTGCAAGAATCTTTAGGAAAGCTCTTTTTTACATTCATTTGGAAACTTTCTAGCTTATCTTTTTATAAGTAATATATGCAATTTTATATCTTAGCATACAAGTCTCGCAGCTTTCTCGCTAATTTTCTCAGAATATTATCGAGGCACTTCCCGAGTGTTCGATTACTTGCTCGTGAAATCAAGAGAAATGGATTTGCCGAGGATTCAAAAGTTGAAGGAAAAAAAAAAAATACTGACCCTTTCCTTGGCCCCATTCGTCGACGCCTTCATCGTCGATCCAATCCCTCGGCGAATACCATCGAATAAAGTCCTCCAGGACTGCACCAGGATTTGCCGCCTGCGTTGTAAGATAAACATTTCGTGGAATACGCTCGTCGAGAGTTCAAAAGCAATATACGCGTACCTTGAAGGACTCCATATCGGACAACAGCGACGCGCTCATCATTCGCGCCCGCATCTCGGAGGCGTATTTGTCGGTTCCAAGCTGCATCATCACCTGCGCGTCCTCCTCCAGCTGATCCTCCGTCTTCGGCACGGGATCCTGCGTGATTGGTAGATAGAGAGGGTCTCCGGTTTGAATCAGTCTGCACATCAATTTCGCATCCCGTTCGGTCATAAATGCACTTTCTCAAACTTCGCTAGCGAAGTGTCGTACAGCGGGATTTGTGCGGAGAAAATTTTGGGCAAAATAGGAATCTATTTTTTTTCCCCCCGTTGACTTTGAGGTCGCGCCAGAAGAGAAATGATACGGTATTGCGAAATACGCGGTAATATCGTGAATTACTTTTAACCAGTGCTACCTCAAAGTCAACGAACAACAAGATAATAAGTGCAAATTCCACCTGTTCCGGCGAATACCTTATATTTATCTGTCAAAAGAGGTTAATAACTGTTAAATGTAATCTACTTTTTTAACGGCAATATGATGGCCAAGTTAAAATATTCCAATTGAACAAAAAATCCCTAGATAATAACAATCATTATCGAAGAATTTTTCTTTAATCCCTCGAACATGATAATTGCTATCAAAGGATTTTTCTTTAATCTCCCGAGCATAATAATAATAATTATTGAAGGATTCTTCTTTAATTCTCCTTTACTCCGTGCACGCTTAATTGTTATTATCGAAGAATTCTTCTTTAATATTCCTGACATTCCTGCATCTCTAGGTTTCGCGCGAAGCGAATCGCGACTACCGAAAAAGGTAAGCCGACCTGAGTGAAGGGTGCTTGGCCAATCTTCCCGCGGGTTTGTTCCACAGCAGGTGCTTCGCCTTCAGTTGCGTCCTCGTTGACGAAACCTCCTCGCTCGCCAGCTCCTCGCTCGAGCACTCGAAGAATTCCTCCTCCTCGGATTCTACGGGGAGACCAAGTCAAGTGCCTTCAAATTTCTTCTCCGTCGCGCGCGCGTGAATAAATAAAGCGCGATTAAACGCCTCGCGTACGATACCTGTCTCGTCCACATCGTCGATCTCCATGCTCTGCGATCTGTGCGCGTTTTCTTCCCTCGCCTTCTTCCTCGCTATGCAGCAATTCATCATCTGCGCGCGCGTGAAAATGTAAGAGCGAAGTCAACGGGATTTCTTACTCGAATAATAGGAAATGCGCGCGGCGTTACATAAGCGTTACATAAAATATTTGGCAATTCGCGTACCTGTAACTTCTGATGCAGCAAACACGTGCGAACGGAATCTGGAAATCCAGGCCCGACTCTAAAACAAGAGATAAAGATTGCTGCGTAATATAATATATTAATTCTACGATCTTATTAATATTGTTGTAAAATCTCTCGCACTTTACACACACGCGACCTCGTCTGTATTTTTGTTGAACTTTCTAAATGTTAGCGAATAGAATCGTAATTATAAAATCAACTGTAATTATAAGCTCGACCGGCTGCGCGCCCTCATATTGACGCTCGTGTGAGGCAGAAATGTTGAAGCTAAAAGTACGCGACGCCGGTTGTCGATTTAGTTAAATACTCACCTCCCGTGTAATTTCACATTTTAACATTCACACGCGTAACGGTACTCCGTTGCCGCAGTTAATGAGTAATAGAAATTGCAGCCGCATCTCCTATGCGCCAGCAATGAACATATAGTTATGCTAATTTCGCCGTTTCGATGTTATTAAAATTATCGAAATTATCTAATATGCCAGTACGCGCGATATTATAATTAACTTTGCAGCTGTCAAGCTTATTTTTACATCAAGCTATATTCAATTTACTTTATAAAAAGAAGATCAATCAGAATTTCTTCACTTTCTATATTTAATTGCATCATTAGCGAGCAAATGAGACAATAAGTTGAAAATAGAAAAAAAAAGTAAAAGCGAGCCATCCTTTCTCGTTTCGTAAGAATACGCACTTTTCTCAATAAATTTCCTTCAATTGATTTGAATTTTTCTTCTTTTTACAGTTGCGTACGAATAATTCAGAGCACTGGAGAGTTTTTGTTTAAAAAAAAAATAAGAACTCGGTTAAACAGGTTGATTATATCGATTTATCAAGCCTTCCGATCGAAAATCAGACTGCAGTAACAGCAAATGCGAAACTAACGACACAATTGCCTCGGCCACGCAATACACGCAGTAAAGCTTACAAAATCTTGTCGCGTATAGCCGGCTCGGCGACACGATAGGAAGCCAGTGGAAGCAACAGGTGAGCGACAAGCTCGTCCCCAACCTTCGAAACGTTTTATTGCCTAAGAGGAAGCACGGGGTGTGACGCGCGACCGGTCTGGAATTAATATTAGACTCAACGTAAATATTTAAAAGTCAAGCTTATTTTAAAAAGAATCGTGGGAGTTTAATTAAAATTTGAACAATTCAAAACTTGTACGTTTTTACACGAAGATCTCTATCGTTACTTGCGTTTTTCAAGGATTATTCCATAAAATTGTTGCTGTACGAAAAATTGAAAACTACAATTTTTCAGAATTATTTTGCATAATCTTTTTCCGTAAGTTAATTTCTTCATCAGTTACGATACAAACAAAATGTTAAATAACGGCAAAGCTGCGTTAATTGCAATAATCCTTCTTTTACAATAACATTGATAAAATAGCATTAGAAAATGAGAACAGCCAAAAATGCAATTATACTCGCTTTCTTTCACTCTACGTTTTTCTACATTTTTGCAGTGGTACATAAAATGCACATTATACGTTTGTAGCATTACATTATTTTACTTCACGAGAAAGATGATTTGAACATCGGGCCCGAAGATGTCCAGTGGTGAACCCGAGCGCGGCAGGACCGTCAAGGGTCAACTCCGCCCTCGACAAGGTTTTTCTGTCGGCGGCGAGCGCTTAATATCCTACCCAGTCTACGACGAAGCCTACCCGCCGAAGGCTGGCTGCCCTACCACGCTGCTCTGCGGTGCTTGGCAGGATTTCTACGGGGGACAGACGCGGCCGTGCTCGGTTCTTGCAGTCGACTTCAAGATCGCGATGCGGCGGCCGAGCTAACGGTGAAGAGAGGCGAGCAATCTTCCACGTCCGTGCACGCGATTCGGAAGTTCGTCGCAGAGTGTTGAATATTTTCGTTTCTTTTTTTTTTTTTATATGTGGGATATGATCGGTTCGTAGATTGCGAGATCGCACATTCTGCGGATTCCGATCGCACCGCTCCCCCCCCCCCCCCCGAAGGGTCGGAGGGAGAGTATTTCCAGCGAAGGGCGGCCGAACTTTTTCCTCGGTACACCATGGCCCAAACTGTTCGCACGTAGAAGACGATACGAGCAACTATGAGTGAGTAGAAGATATTTTAACTAAAGGTTTGCGAAGCTTTTTTTAAATAAAAATCTTTAAAAAACGCTTCGTACGGCGGAAAATAATTTTGTCTTCATTCGACTCGTGACTTTCGTGAAAGGACACGAAGCTGAATATGTGTTTTTTGTAACAACTTGAGAACCGTCTGATGTTGACAGAGCAGTGTTTGGAACTCACTCAACAAATGTTTGAATTCTAAAGCAAGATTTGTCGTGATTATAACACAGAAATGATTCATTCACGCGAACCTACACAAATGTTGAATTAGGAACTTCTTCAGGGGGCTTTTTTTTACGAGTACAACTTCCGAAGAAAATGTTATGAGTTATTGGAATCGTTAACCGAAGTTGCGCCGCGGAAGCGATGTAAACCTTTACTCATCGTTCATAATTCTATCGGAACTTTTTTTGTGAAGTTTTGATGTGCTCAGCGAAGGATTAGATATGAACCGTCATTCGTTTATATCCTAAATTTTTTTTTCTTCATCAATAGACACCTAACGGTATTATCTCAGTTTGCCCATCGAGAAATTTATCTCTCGTCGAATTACCTCGAGGCAGACGCCGGGCCAGACAAAACTGTATTTCGCGAAGCGGTAAAATGTGCTAAAACTTCTTCAAAAGAAGTTTACATGTGCAAAGATTCAAAGTAATACATGCTCATAATTCAATTAAATAATCAAACATAAATATATTCAATTAGATTAAAATTTTGTGTGTAAACTAGCAATAATTTTTCTTTCTTATCGCTCGCTGAAATAGTTTTCATTCTACAAAATACCAATTGGTCCTCCAAAGATTTTATTTTAATGTCAATTATTTTTAAATAAATATTGAGAATTTAGCAATTCGCGAAACTTGTTCCCTTCGTGAAAAATATACTGGAATCGATAATACTGGATTTTCCCGTTCGTAGGAAAAATGTTCAATTATCCGGCTCGCTGTTTCACGAGCGCACCAGCATTATATTATTCTTCATGAAACTATAGCTAAGTCGCGTGGCTACGGCGGACTCTTCGAAGGGTTAATGCACCTACGCGCGTATCTTACGCCTATCGTCTTCAACGTACACCGTCCGACCTTGAACCGCACTATAGATACACGATGTACACGCTGGTACCTCCTGCACCCAGACAGGATACCGAATAGTACGCGCATCCCGTCCGCTTAATCCTTTACGAGACATAAAATCGAACAATCGAACTTCTTTGGGGAAAAGATAATTTTTTTCTTCCAACGACATTATTGAAAAATATGTACAATTTTTGTATCAGAAAAGTTTTCGTTTATATTGGATAATTGTATTATTATATATCATGCTATTTTTTTCAGCTTGCATTCTTGTATGAGAAGCGTAAAGATTTAAAGCTGCGTAAAGAATTAATGCTAAGTTATTCAATCTTTTATCTGATTGAATTTATGCAGTTTTCCGTTTAGCGTGAAGATAAGGAGTTTAATATAAGAAAGAGTTAAGCCTGCAACTTGTAAATTCCGTTTTACACTAACAGTAGACTTCACATAAATCTTTGCTTCTCAATTATTTTCAATACTTTTCGCCGAGAAGCAAGATTTCGCACGACCGCGTTTAAACGTGTTGTGAAAACCGGCTCGCATCATAAAATTCTGGGACTAAACATCGATCACGACCTTCGGAGATCCTGAACTTTCAGAACGGATAAATCAAGTGGCGGACGCGTAATTCAGAGAGCTGTGACCGGATATCAACGTTTTTTTCCAGAGCCGCGAGGAATGCGTGGAATTCCTTAACGAAGTGACAAATGATACAGGTCTGTCTAGAATCGCGACGCTACGGACGACGCTTTGCATAAACGTGCGAGATGCAATCGGGCTTATCTCTGCGATTTCATTTGCGCTCGACCGATCGGGAAACGATATGCGATATCACGTGGAAGGATGGAGAGTGTGAAATTTATACGCGCGGTAAAAAGGAACTGAGAAGAAAAACGCAAAGGCGGGGAGCGAGTAAAAGCGAGGGAAAAATCGGGCTGCGCTTCTCATGGATTGCATTATATCCTCGGCGAGTTATACTTCTAAATTATCAATCCTGTTGTGTCGTTCTGCGCGAGTAATAACGTTACGTAGACATTACGTAAGTTAAAGTGGATCGGGGAATATATTTTTTTATATAATGACACGTCGCGAGAGTGAGTTGCGCACGGGGTGAAAATATGTAATCTCTTTGATAATATTGTTCGAGCAGACTCTCTCTCTCTCTGTCTTACAAAGTGTCTTACAATTAATATAGATATTACTGCCTCTGCGATATTAGAAATTGATGATTTCCAGATATTTGACAAACAAAACATTGTGCTATTGCTTTATGTCAATAAATTAAAAAGTAGAACGTTCACCATTTAATTAATTATTAAATCTAATTCTGAAAAAATCTCTGTATAAATCAAATTACAACATATAGTATAGATAAAAAATCGTCAAGAAGCTACCATCTTCATTCTAACGAGCATTCGCGCGCACACTTCCGCGAAACATTGAAATTTATATATATTGCCAGTAATATGCGGAACAAACGTTACTGAAGCGTCCCGACACTTTCGTTTCACATTCCATCGGCGAGACATTAAAATTTTCGCGATAACTCAACCGGGTTCAACGCACCAAAGAGCATCTTTTCGGATCGCATGCGAGCAACGTTAACCGTCACGGTCGGTCTGACGAGAAAAATCAGGGCGTATGGTAATGGCGTCCTGTCTGGCAACCATTACGGAGAAATTGCCGAGATTTACTCGCGAACCGGCCGACGAGCATGGCGATGGTGGTCCGTTTGTCCGCGAGCCGTGACCATCGGACCATGATGCTCCGCTGCCTCGATTCCTGCCTTCATCCCCCTTCCATTACTTGCACTGCCGCCACCGTGCATCCACCGCGATCGCGAGATTCGTCTAAGACACCTCTCGCGCATTCCTCATAAACAAAGTGGAGGAAAGTCGTGTTCAACGATGCTAACATAATTATAAAACATTTACATTAACTGTTTTAAGAAGATAATGATTTAAGTACGGCTTACGAAGCGCTAAGCGCAATTAATTCATAATTAAATGTGCGTGGAATGGCGATTTTTATGTACTATAAAAATTTTCATAAAATCCTGGAAGATATAATCGGGGGTGTGCATAATCATGATGTCCACGCGACCGCGACTCTTGATTAAGTTAAAAATATCTTCAACGTGCTTTCGTGCAACGTTTGTAGCGTTCTAGCTGAAAGCGTAAATTGTCGGGAGGAAACGATCGTCATTACACGAGAACAGATGTCAACTCGCGTTGTCGCTCCTTAACGAGCGTGCTTCTACGCCAATTGCAATTAGCGAGCGCCATTGTTCGCGCCTAGCGTTTACACGCTTAAGGTGTACATTTGAGAGCAAGACGACGGTTTTTTTTTCACATAAGATTGTAACACTTCGATAATTCCGGTTGCTCGTATTAGCGATAATTTAAATTAATACGAGTCAAGCGCTTTAATTAACACGAAATCTCATAAAAATGATGACAATCGGTTGAGAATGTTAAATATATAGAATTATCGTAAACAAGTTTCTAATGTATTAGAAAACTTGCGAAAATTCTTAAAATATGTCTTTTTACATTTAGCCAGGATTATACAATAATTAACAAAAAATTTGCAGCAAATAATTCCCTCAATCAGCTTCAAATCAGCTAAAGAGTTCCGAATCGGTGAAGAATATTCAATGATTCCAAAATGTTATATATAGTCTAAATGGAAGCACGTTTCGTTCGCGCCGCACAAGTGTGTAGCAAGAATCACTGAGCCTTTGCGATTACGTCTACGTGAGTTTTATCCACAAAGGTACCCTTCAAATAGCCGCAGACCGCCTGCAACTGCGATCAGGCTCGCGTTTTAGAAAGGCACGTGCATCGGTGCACGGCGCGAACGTGCCGTGGTCGCGTTTCTCGCATACTTTGTTGCGAACGAAACCACAGAGAGCAGAATGATTTAAAGTCTTCGTAGGGTTTTCTCTTTTCAACTGTAAAACGATGAGCAGCCGCAATGACTGTATGAAACGTTCGCCATTTCATTGGAAACAACGCGCACCGACTGTGACATAATATTTTCAATTTAAATTACTCATGTTGATATTTTATTGGGCGATAAATATCTCGATATTCTAGTACAAAACGGTTGCAAAATAACGATAGCTTTTTGCAATTGGGAAAAAATGCATCCCAAATTTATCAAAGATTTGAAGAATAGAAGACGGCAAAAAATGTAGAACCCGTTATTAGAAATATTATCATCAACCCTTGATGATTAATAATATAATGATCATCTTGCGTGCTAATCTTCGTACCTAATTTCCATATGAAACCGGAAATATAAAAGTGCGCAATGAAATGGCGAGACAAGTCGTGGGCGAATCTCGTAGGTAATCTTCGTCGAGATTGTCCCAGCGTGGAGACCCTCGAAGAAGAAGAGTTGTAACCCAGTGCGACCTAACCCACATCTCAGAGACCGAGGGAAACCGAGTTAACGTCACAGCTCTCATTTCCGGAACCGCTTCACGACTTCCGTCGCGGGCACCGTCGAGGCACCTGCCGCCCAATAACTGTTCCGGTCACGAATCGATCGATCCAACCTTTGCCCGCTGTCGTAACTCGTCTCAATTATACGCTTTCCAAGTCCGATTTAGCGGATAAATCTCAAAATAGAGTGCAATTTATCTGCAATCTTGAATTAAAATTGAAGCACAAAAATGTGCAATATTGAAAATTGAAGAGACGCAATTATTGAAGGAACGAAGAATTTTGGGACATCACGCGGACGCGACGCACGCATCGGAGACTTGAATGCCGGGTTAACGACTCCGCGGCACAAACTCGCGTCGCGACGCGTTCCGGTTCACAGGTCTACGCGAACGGACGATTGCGCCTGGGCGGCAGATTTTGAAGTCCGTAATTAAAGCCGCGCGGCGGGCCTATCTCT